TGTTAGTATAAAAGATATCAATAGTTAAATATGACTTGTTTGTAAGTCTGTTTGAGAACTTTACATTTAAATTTATAAGTTTCATAGGAAACTTTTCCTAACAATGAAATGTGAAATCAAAGACTAAATTTTTCAGTATACATGTTTGTTAGCACTTGTAAAAAGGCAATGGAAAAATGAACAAATACATTCAACATGTAGATTTGTATTTTAATAAACATATCGTCATTCTACTTTGTTCTGTTTCATTTCTGAAGACTCAGTAAATAAACAAAATCCGTTTGGATAGAAAATGATTTACTATTGTTTCGTTAAAGAAAAAATACAAAGTATATAACCGTAAATAAATTTTATATTTTTAAAAAGAGAGAAAGAGTTCTCCCATTGTCAAACATTATAAACGTATAAATAGAAATAACAAATAATGGGTTTGTCAAAACGTTTTTGGGATTTGTTAAGCATCACATCTCACAAGTACTTGTTCCAAAATCATACATCCTATCGCGTTTCCACGGTAACCAATTAAATTCGGATTTTTAGTGCTGAGACGTGTGTATTTGTTGAAGATCCAAAGACGTTATCTCTTTTTCAGATACGAGTGGATATTTGACAAGAGCATTGTTGATGACATTCTTATAAAGGAGAGCCGAATGACTTCTCTCTTAATGTCAATCTATTTTCGCGAACCAAACTGAATAATTTATTTAATGTCTATATTTAAATTTCAATGTATACACATAATTTTATATAAATTGGTACGAATTTCATATTCAAAATATTACCGAATTATAGGCACAGCTTGTCTTGTCGATGATTCAGTGCTGTGTAATTATATTATCGTGATGTACGTGTGCCAAATACGAATAGTATAATTTGTTACTATTCATTAACTATATAACTCACTTGTGACAAATAACACAAATAGAAGACATGAAATTTCTAATAGGAATCATGTTAACATTAATTAATATAACCACTTCACAGTTCGCTGATCACAATTTTCATTTAGCATTTAAAAATTAATTAAAAGACAATTTAAAAGAAAAAATTGGTTATTTAAAATATAAACATACCTATATTATCAATACTATAGTTTACTTTATAAATATTTTTGTTATTATTTGCATATAACATTATATACCTAGTAATTGGATTATGAAATACTTTTATAAAATAATGTCCAGAGTTTTATTAAAAAAAAAAACATATTTAAAAAATAATAAAATCATTTCTAATTAAATAAATGTTTGTATGTAATTCATCTTTACGAAAGTGAGTCTATAATATTTTCTTTTGTTTATTCCGTGTTCTTTTTTGATGATTTAAAATGTGTTTGGGTTTAACGAAAAATATTAACAATATATGACACGCAAAGCGTTTATGACATTGACACAAGCAAACAAGTGACTATATTTACCTTAAGGTGTTGTTTCCGTGTTTGAAACATAAAAGTTTCAAACCAGAATAAATACTTGTCGAGTTGGATTATAATAATAAGAAAATTATAATAATATATTAAAATCTGAGAATTTTGTTTAATGTTAATATCAAAGTAAAGGAGTAATAAATCATAATTATTTTTGGATGAAAACTTTCATTAATTTAAAAACAAGGTAGGAAGGAAAAAATTATACCCAATAAACTTTTAGTGTTAACTCGAGAATGTAAAAAAAAATATGCATCATGTTTGATACAAAAACTGCTTTTGTAAACAAGCTAATTTTGAAAATGCTTAATTTGGAGTATTACAATGTCTTATAAAATTGTTAATGATTATTGAACGTTGTATTATTAAACTTTTGTACTCTTTCTAAACTTCCTTAAAATTAAATTACTATTACTATTATTATTGTATACTTGTTCCTGCAAACTATGAAAACTATTTTTCTTTTTTTTTTTTGAATCAACTAATGTATTTTATTTTGTTGAGTATATTCGTGCGTTAAAGTCGATTTACCGAAAAAGATAGTAAATAATATTATCTCTATTCCAAATTCTGGATTGTTGTAATACTTATATGAAAAGTAATAGTAGTACTTTTTCCACCAATAGCTTAGATATAATAAAATAAGCATAGAGTTCTTAAATTTATTTTCTCAACACTATTATTACTGCAAAACTTTTCAAAAAGTAGATCAAATAGTTTTCCTGTTTGCTTATCAAAATCTAGTTTGGCCAAATTTCAACGAATAAACTCAATCAGATATTCCACCACATTAGCCTAACCTATCCCTATATCTATCAGATAATTTAAAAAATATTTGCCATTACATGAATTCAATTAATGATTTATTGCATTATTTTTGTGTGTATTTATCAAAATGTGAAATTTAATAGTAGAAAAATGAATTAGAACAGTTTATAAAAAATTGAGTAATGCGAAAATGTTGAAATTTTTAAAGTTTTTATCTAAATAAAATAAGTAGATAACGGATGAAAATATTGCTATTGTATAATGCAATAATATACCATTGCTCAACAATTTATTCTTTTGTTTGAAGTAATTTGTGCAAATGTCAAAACGCGGAGTTTTGATTATGCAATATTGGTGCACATGTGTGTAGAATATTGAATAACTTTTCAATATATTCTATTTTCTATTTTACTTGAAAAAAAGTATTCAAAGAATTTGATCATTAATTTGTTAGCTTAAAATTAATTTTATTAAATCATTGGAATATCTGAAGTAATGAATTGTTGAAAACATTTAAAGTATGAATAAAATATTCAGTTTTTTGTTCACAACTGTATTAAAAGAAAAAACGAATAAATAACACATAAATAGTTCTGAATTTAAATATGAAATATTTATTGATAGCTCAATTCTTTTAGGTATTTCAAGAATATAACGATATACAATATAACGGTCTTTTTAATATGATAAATGGTTTAGTTTATCGAGAAATTAATAATAATGATATTAATAAATAGAATATGATGCGTTTAATATTCCTTCAATATATTTCTAATGAAAATAATTTATTATGATATTAAATTTTATACCTATTCATGGTTAAAAGTAGTGTGTATATGTTTTATCCATAGGCTAGTGTAATTTATTTATTATTATTTTTTAATACAATAAAAATGGTTATCTTTGGTGTTTTACTTTTGATAAATTAATAATAGTTACCAATGAAAAATCTAAGATAGTATATTAATATAACCCAGTGAATATTTTGTTTGATTGATTTGACTCAAAATGGATAATATTAGACTGATATGAAGATTGTCAGATTTTCGAAGAATTGGTTAGTTACTTCACATAAAAAGAAAAGGAAGAATCATTTGAAGAGACAGGTAACGTGATACAAAACTCATGTATGCTCTGTTTATTTCAATAATATAAAAGTCAGAACCTTTTGATTTATTATTCGGTATATGTTGGTCGGGAAATAGCCGTTGCGTATGTTTTACTTTTAGAAATTTTATTTCTATTTCCGAGACTCTGTAAAGACTGTGCTATGCTCAATTCTCAGTCTGTATAAAACGTTTTATTTTACAAGAGCTATAAATTACAACAGTGATTATGTACATAAACATAATAACTGTTCAATATTTATCCTTTGAACCGTTTCAACGTTTTTACTAGAGCTGCTTGTGAATTCCTACGCATTTTAAGTTAGTAGTTGATTTAATTCGTTTAACAGGGTAAGCTGTAATACGATTTCAGCTGTACCTTGATAATTACATTCTTTGAAAGTAAATGCAAGTTTTCTCAGTCTAAGGTAAAGATTATATTTTGATAAAGGATAAATGAAGCATTGTGGATTTTTAAATGAACTTATATATTGACAAAAACAATGAAAAAAAAAAAAACAGAAAGACTACACAAGTAATTATTTGGAGAAAAAATCACTGATCTTTATTTTTCCATTTAAAGGAAAAGTTTACCCAACATTTACCTTTTAAGTAGTTTAATTAGAGTTATCGAGTTTATAATTTATTCTATATAAATAAATAAATTTCAGCTATTTTTATTTAAAAAAATATGTTTCTATAATCTACCGTATTAATTATACCTTTTTTCTGTTTTTAAAGATTACATAAAATGTACGAGAAACTTAATCTTCGAATATTTGCATTTTTAAGAAAAAAATATCTTGTTAAAAGCACATGATCAATATTTTGTTAGGCGCTTATAGTCTGTCGGTTTTAACGGATTTATCTGCCCATATTAAACCAAAGAAAACTTTTTTATCGCGTTCATTTTTTACCTCATCCCTCGAGACATGGTAATATCGTCGCATGCAAATTTATCAGGGAAAATAAAAAAAATTAAAGTTTTATGTCGACCTAGTAGGCAGTCACGCCTATGTCCCTACACGATAATGTCGACCTACATGCAGTTTGTAAAAACGAATTACAGTTGGGGCTTCGTTTTTTTTACATTCAGCTGATTTTTGTCGTGTTTAAAATAACACTGTTTTTCTTTAAAGATTCGTTAAATAAAAAATAAGTATTTTTTCACTTTTTTATTAGTTTATTGTATGAACATAAATGAATTTCTCTAAAATTGTACAAAATGTAAATTGTATTTAATAGTTAATTAAGTTGACACCCTCTAAATTTCATTTTAATTGTGTTAATGACTATGGGTTCATCTGTATCTTGTAATTTATAATATGAAAAAAATATATACAATTGGATTTTTTTTTTTATGACTTTATTGTATTCACTAATGTCTTGAAGCCACTCATTGTTGAAATTTAACATACATACTTGACTATTGACTTCAAAACAATTATTATTTTATGAAGTCCAAATTTTTATTTTTCATAAATTCTCTATCCAGATAAAATATAATTAATTTTGTTTTAAAATTTACATTCGAGAAGCCCCGAAAATGTGGGCCTTGAGGTATATGCCCTTAAAACCTTCTGTTATATCTAGTTCTGAGGTACATGATAAAAAAAACTGCATTTCAGTATATTCGAATAATAGTACTTATTATGAACTAGTTATATTATTTAAGTACAAATCATAAAATTATTAGTTACCTAATACGGTTAAATAAATTGGATGTCCAATGGGTGGAGTTGTACTGATCTGGCATTCGTATAAGCCGGAATCTTTCTTTTGTGGGTATTTTATACGCAGTGACCAATTATCTGAGTGTGGTTCGTGCATTGCTTCAAAGCGTTGATCACTTGTATATGTATACCTTCCCACTGTAAGCAAATGAATATCCCGATGACGAACCCAAGACACCTAAAACAACACAATGAAATGCAAAAAAATAAATTGCGTTTGAAAAAAGCTAAGATAAGGATTCATTTGTTGTTTAAGATTAGTTGGGGTATAAATCTCTTTTGTTTGACTATTGTAAAGTACATTATTTGTTGTTTCCTAAAATAAAACGATTTTTTTTTACAGAAAAAATGACATTTAATTGTTTAAAATGACAATGAAAATTTGATTGACATGCTTAATTCACCTTTTTATCAAATAATATAGTTATTATAAGGAGGATTAAATTTATCATAAATCAAAAAAAAAAAAAAAAAAAAATGAACTCATTTTTTCTGAATATTTTGTTGTAAGTAAAAATATTTATGAACAATTTGTTATTTTATATTTGAAGCTTGGACATTTCTCATTAATTTTTTGAGAAAAATATTTTTGACATAATATCTTTTTATAGTTCAAACTAATATCATACTATTTAAATCTAAAATTCGTTTAAATATTTTTAGGTAATATTATTTCAATGTCGAATTCATATATTATTCTCCTACTAATTAAAAAATTAAGAATTACTTTAATATTTTTAATAATAGATTAGTCTATGTATATTTTAAACTGCCATATCTTATTAAGAAAATATTATATGATATGTAGATTATGCATTTTCTGTTTTGTAATGGCACAGTTTAGATAAGATATTGTAAAATAAGTTAAGTATTGTAAATATGTAATGTGCGACAAAATCGGATGTGTGATAAAAAATAATATTGGTACGTTTTTCAATGAACACATTTTTTCCTCTTCTCTCTAATATCAATTAAAAAGTAACAATATGAATTTCATGATGAATTAAATGGAAATATTAATGAACTATGATGGTTGAGAGAACAAATGCGTACGAATATCAACTATATTCGAACTCCTAAACTAATGAAAATAACGGCATCACCGAAACGAAGAGATTAAGATCAGAAATTAAACTACTATTAATCATACGCAGCTGATTTATATACTATATAGTACATAAATATTAAATAATTAATTTTTTTATATGAATACTTGTACAAATTTTATTATTGTCCAACACAGAAAACTATAATTTGCTTCTAATGTTAACAAATTGTAATCAAACCAATCTTTTTATATTTGTGAAATAAAACAAATATCATTTTAGTTTATATTTTTCTATAATTTTGGACTCAATTAATAAACGAATAATTCATTATTTTAACAGTATTCAACATTAACCATTTGGGAGGTATTTTTAATATTATCATTAAGTAGTTCTTTATTTAAAAAAAACGTTTTCATTGTTATCAAATGCATTTAAATAATTTATTTATTTATTTATACGGGCTGAGCCCTTGTGATACAAAATATTTTTTTAGTTACATTAATATAAACAATAAATTGCCTAAAATTCAAAATGATTATTCAGATTAAGTATTTTCTAATCTATTATTGTTCACCCTTTTCTTTTCTCATTGGCTAATATAATTACCATCATCTTTTTGGACCACGTGCCGCAGTTTTACATGAATATTCATTGTACAACAATCGTGAACATCGACCAACATTACCATTAATAACGTTCAGTGTTCTCATAATTTAGTAGAAACGGCCGCAACCGTTATTATTGCAAAAAAAAAAAAATGTGTTTGAATCTTTTTTAACTGTTTTCCTTTTAAAAGAGAACATGAGACATTGATAAATGTATACCATTGATATAGTAATCAAAGGTTTAGATATTTAGCCGCTCACCCTTAACACCAATAGCGTAATAACGGTGGAATAGTTACATCATGTAGACCATCAAAACCTTAAAAATCGTTTATAAGTTAAAGACATGTGCGTGATTCGAATTCTCTAACATTCGTATAATAATTATAATCGTTGTTGTTCAACTCAATTGTAACTTAAAATATTCGTCTCTATCAAGAAATTTTTGCCATAACTCGTATTTTACTTTTGCCATTTTGCTGGAAAAGACTTAATGGCAAATCAATAAAATACATTTTTACAATTAAGTGTTCTTTAAACTTATTCATAGACTTCGATAAATAAATAGTTAAATAAACTAGAGTGACAGTTATCTTTAATTTTTTGATTTTATTTACTAGTATTCTAAATAAAACAATTTTAACATCATTACAATGAAAATATATTAAATTTTTATACAATGTTTATACTTTTGTTAGTATCCTTTAAAAATATTAATATAAGCAATGTTATATCCGTCAAATATTTTATAAATGAGTTTCGTATACATTTTACTATTTTGTCTTTTGATAGCACAACGTTCATGTTTATTTTTTTTTTATTATGAAATCGTATTTTTTATTAAAAAAAAACGAATTTTTTGTTTGAATCCACGATTATTTGAAATGGTTTCAAAAACTTATTACAGACGGCTTGTGAAATTTGTCCATTATTTGGATCAAACATTGCAAGAAAAGTGTCCGAAGAGGATTCTGTCGAATCCACTGATTTATTTTATGTAAGTATGTGGGACTTTGGAGTGAACCTTATACTAGATTTGCAGTATTTGAAAAGTATTAACCTTAAAAATTTCAACCAACAAATAAAAAGGTTTTGTATATTCCGCATTAGAAATAACGTGAGTGATGCGAATGGATCAAGATTGAAGTTTTAAGTGACTAAAGTAATGTCTACATATTCAGGAACAATAGTATTAAACACACAAATGTATGTTACACCAAATACATTTCACTATCCGTGCAAGTTGTCTTACTTTATGTATATTACAAATAGTATAGGGCTATCGACAAACAGTAATTATGCAAATATATCCATAGATTTATGTGACATTTTGTAAACTCCATCCTTTAGTAGTTATCATTGAATAGTATTCTAATTAATTATTGTGCCTTATATTATTCAAGTATGTTTGAATGAAATAAAAAACTAAATACATTGTAGAAGTATTATATTTTTGGTATTAGTATGAAATATATAAATTATTGTAAAATTGTGTAAATGTACAGGTTTCAAATGTTCATAATTATAGTAGAAGATTATTAAGTTGGTAATCTGTTGATTGTAACTAATTATGTATTTATGCAAATTTTATTTTTATATAACGTGAGTTCAGCATAAAAAGGTTTCACATAAATATGTCTGTTTTTTAGGATTAAACTGCATTAAGTTAAATAGTGGTTATTACTTAATAATTTAATACTTTAACCAAAAATCAATATAAATAAATCGCCATTATTTAATATTTTACAAATTTGAACAAAACTGCCTAAAATGAAAGTGTATACTTAAAGACAGAGTTAAATTAAAGAATATAAAAATGTGTTCTATCGAAATCATACCGAGCGCAAATAAAAATAATAATATTTACATTTAAATACAAAAATGGTCTCCTATGGAAATCCTAATTTTGAAATAAAATATTATTTCGTTAAATCCATAGATGATAATGATGCTTTCGAAAACAATCCAAAATTTTTTCAGCAAATTTGATTTGAAAATTATATTTAGTTTATATTTTTTTCTGTATTTAGATATTTTAAATAAAACGTAAACAATATAATTGAGCATATTTTATCTCCTTATAACTGTTCATTTTTACAAAAATACGAAAAGCACCGGTGCATTTAATATGAATAAACTAAGATCTGGAAACGAACAATGAAAGAAAAACAAAGCTGAAATGAAAACGGAGGCAAAATGGAAAAGCATCGTAGGTTATTGAAATCAGTTATTCACAGATGATTGGAAAGATCAAATTTTTGGCTCACAGGGAAATGTGATTTTTTGGTAACAGTCCAGCCAGTGCAAATTGAATAGAGATTTTGGCCTTGATTATTTATCTATAATTTAGCATATTTTACAAAAGGAAATCTTCATTTTCATTTTTTAATCATTTTAATTTTAACTGTTAAGTCAATACATGATTATATTTCTATTTATTTTATTCAATTTTTTTTTTTGTGCATTTTAACTTTCTATTTGTAACATAATATTTGAATTGGTAATATTGGTATTGTTTTAAGCTAAATTAAATCATTGCCACACCTAAAATATGGGTGCACCTTGTTAATGTGATAAACAATGCGATAAATAATCCCCAAAGTACGAGCTTCTGCCAAGCTAGGAGCAATTATTTATACTGTGACAGAATATGTACTAAATGTGAAGCTTTAATTAGCATTTATAGGGTGTGTTGTTATATATGGACTAGGTAAATAGATGACAGTTGATAAGGCTCAACAAAAATATAAAACAAGCAATTTATTATTTGATATATCCAATTATAACAAAAAGGATTGTTTATCTAAGATAATTGTTGTATTTTACTATAAAATTTTTAAGTAATCTAAAAAATAAAAGGACTTTATTAACATCCACAACAAAATATTATGTTTGAATTAAATAAAAGTTTACTTAATTCACCTACTAAAAATCAAAGATTACAATCTTCATAATTTCATTACAATCCTCAGAAGTTGAAGAAAATTATTTTTTTTTAATTTCAATTATCATACTTCCTTGATTTGTAATAAATCAAGAAATTAAAATGTTATTGTTGGAAATAATAATCAAGAAAAATAATTGTCAGGTTGTTAGTTTTGAATAAAGTTTCATTAGAGATAATTATAAATTCTTATCTTTTTACCTTTACATTTTAAATTATATCTATAATCTAATTCACGACAACTATGAATATATTATTTGCACTTAAATTTAAGTACACATAATATTATATGTATTATTAAAGAATTAAAAAAAATTATTTTCTGTCAAGTATTTAAAAAGCTATTACGGTATTTCTTGCGTCATTACATGTATTTTAGATTCATTCAATTGATAAGAAAATAATTGAGTGTAGAATAAACGATAAATCATTCCGAGTTTAATGTCGTACGATAGAAATACAAAAACTTTAGGCCTTCAAAACTTCAGTTAAGTAGAAAAGAACAAGGTGGAGTTGTACTACACTTTTTCATAGACCTTTCATCACCAGGCTCAGTGTTTATAACTAATTTCAAACTTTT